ATCCGTCTAAATTGTCATATATTCCCACTTCCTCTAGTAAAGCGGTGTGAATAGAGTCTTCGTACTCTTGCTGGACAAATGTCTTGTACATTTAAAAAAAAACGAATTCCGTTTTTCTACAGAAAGAACACCGATTCCAGCTTCTCTGCAAAATCTAGAATGGATGGCAGCATACCACTACACAAGAAAGCATGATTAATTCTTTCATTGATACAATACTTTCCGTTCGGAAGGTATGGCGAAGATGCCCAAATATACCTGTGTTTAGGACGATCGGTTTTCGAACAACACAGTTTCAAAGAAGTGACATGTCCCCGTTTTGTTGCCTTTTTTACCTCCAATCTTCCTCCGCAATGTTTCCCATGTACAGCAGCTACATCCATGAGTTTTTTTCACAGAAGGCAGCGATGTCACAAAGAAGTCCTGGTTCACCTGACTTTTCTTAACATTAATATAAGTTCCAGGTGTTTTGGGATGATCGTCGTTGGCTACTGACTTCTTCCAGGTAGACAGCAAATTTTCAATGATGTCGGCATTGTTGACAGGTCTACTCAGTTGTTTGACTAACATTTCCCTGACTTCCTGAAGACTTTGCATAATGTTAATTTTCTTGTCGTCATTAGCTGGTATTTCTAACTTAAAAGTTGGAGGACGCTTTCGTTTGTTTTCAGCCATGATATAGTTTCCCAGTAATAATAAAGCTTAGTTAATGACGACGATTATTCTTTGAATTACTCCTGCTTGTATCTTATATAATATATAATATACATTATCTATACTAAAGGGGGTCATATTTCAGTGGACTGTACCATTTTTTAACAAGTTGTTATCTAATAAAGAAACCATTGACAATTTTGTGAATAATAATTACCGCTTTTAAAATTTATTAGCACTTTACTAATTAAAATAAAAGATTTTATAAATTTTGTGGGAATAGTTTTATGTACATTAATGACAGAATAATAACAACGTGGTTGCCCCCACTACCCCTGTTTAGGTTTCAGATGGAATTGACCAACTTCCACAGACACATGGAGGGACCTCCCGCCAAATGTCAATAAATCAGCCTAGCTGTGATACAAAGCAGGATAAGAAGGCTCAGTGGGGAACATCCATAAAACATGTGCATGAGAGAAATACAAGCAGTATCCCAAATATATACATATTATAATTTATTGAATTCGTCATCTACTTTTATAATTTCCAGTTTTATCAATAAATAAGGAATTATAGTTAATTATAGTAAATTAAATGAAATCCTGAGTCCCCTAATAGACCTCTCCCCTGCAAAACTTCCCTCCAAAACAAAACGCGGTCTCAATTTAGCAAAATGGAGGAACAAGAAGAGAAAAGTGTTATTTCATTGAGGGTAAATTCAGAACAAAGGGAAGCCATTATACAATTCTTTATTTTAATAACTGGGATTTGGATGAGATGAATGGAGAAACTGATAACAATGAGGAGGAGGGCGTGAACTTTGAAAGAAGATACAACATCCCGCAAAATGAAGACTGTGAAGAATGTCAAAATTGTTTATGTAAACCATGCATAACTGATGAACGAAATATACAAATGTGGTGGGCATCGGAACCTGTGCCACCAAACACACGGAACAGTTCCCTTAGAAAAGAAAGGTACAAATTCTGTTGGACTATGCTTTTCCATAGAGGTGTGTTTTTGGATGAGAGATACATAGCTAGGAAAAGAACTGCTTTACTCAACGATCCAAGATTACGAAACACTGTGTGCCATTGTCGAGATATTTTACCAGAATGTGTATTAGAACAAAATAAGCCATACATGGGGCATCGTTGGAATTAAAATAAAAAAAAATGTCCAAGATTTCTTTTTTAATAGTGTCTTTTGTCTTTTTTTTTAGGTAAGAATATGACGGCCATTTTAGCATGTGTCAATAGCGACGAGCATTTCCGGTGTTAATGTAAACATTCAGCAGCTGTATGATGAAATGAAATTAAATTCCCAACTTAGATTGTTTCTGCGGGTCGAACGTGAAAAAGTTGGTCATGATCAGTTACATAACCGCATCCCAAATTATAAAGTTTAATTTGAATTTAGTTTAATTTTTATTTGTTGGATTCAAGTCACTCACCAGCTATAATGATTATAACTTGAGTGATGGTCGGGTAAATAAAAATTCTGTATAAAGTAATAGATATCTTTATTTACCATTTAAGATAATACCTGCTTTTTACATAAAAAAATTATGAATTTATGAAAATCAACACTTTTATGAAATATTTGTAAAATGGAATGACTTTTGTTATGACGTCGTAAAAAAAGGAAAAGGGGCAGGGGGTTAACTCTGTACTTAAGATATTTTAGTTTAGGAAAGGGGATTACCTTGGAAGTATTGTGATACAGACAA